CGGCATCCGTGAAGCGCACTATCACCCCGTGATAGAGCCGTCTCGCCATTAGCATAGGTAGTTTCGGACATTCGAATTAGAGTTTGCTTCCCCATGGTCTATCGTGACTCATTTTGTCAAAGGCCTTCTTCAAATCGACGAACGCGATTTAGATGATGGTCCTAGTTTATTCCTAGTTGTCTTGCAGTTGGCTGGCTGCAAGACTCAAACCCCCAATCGACGATTTTCGCGGTTCTTGACGTTAACTCCTCATTTCGACCATAACTGGTCTGTGGGCGATCACGGCGGAATCCTCTGTTTTCGCCATTTGCTAGTAGTTTGATCAGCCAGCTAGGAGGTCTTAGGGTTACATTCTCCCCTCTAAGCTTTGATGACCGCCCTAGGCTTAAATGTCCCCTCCTCGGCTGGACTATACGCGGACTATGACCGATCGCGTCAAGGTTCCTCTTGTTTCGCCACTTCGGAAAGGATAGCCTCATCCGGTTTGGAAACTCTGCCTTGACGATTTTCATTTTGAATCCCACATACAATACCTGTTATAGTCCAATCCTGTTTAATCCGCATATCCACCCTTTCATGAGCGGCAGTTTATTTCTCCCTAAAAGCTGACCAATTCACATTCATTTTGTCTCTTCAGAAAGAATTTTTCGATGCTCACTCACCGTTTTTAATACCTGACTGCTTATTCCAGAACGGTGAACTGAATACTGTGCGAAATCTGTATACCTGTTCTAAAATTTACTGGAAAATTTATTTTTACTAACTATGAAAGTACCCTCAGGGGTCCGCAGTAAAGTAATTTATTCGTTTATTTCTATTCCTGGTTCCGCGGTGTTTATTAAGTGAAGCTGCCGGTCCTGCTCCTGTCAAGGTACTAAAGTATCAAGGCCAAGGCGCGCGGCTCAATTTCGAAGATAAGTGGAGCTTTGTCTATACTTTGATACCCCTAGGCAATGAATGCTTTTTTTAACTGAGTCCTTTTTAAAACGTCGCTTTTCATTGTTGGTTGTGATTTCTCCCAGTCTTGTTCGACAGTCTGGTAAAGCAGCCGTATTCTGCGAAGCGCAATTTCAGTGCCTCCGTGTCTGACCGTCTATTTTTAGTTTTTGTAATAATTAAACAGTAGTTTTCGCTATCCTGTGAGTTTTTTATACTTTGGCAACGTTTCGATCCTTGTACTGCAACGAAAAACCTATCTGGTACCCTGTAATGCCACAAAGAAAACGTGCTAAAAGGCAAAAGCTTGCGGCCCTCCCGCCGTCTCTGGAAGTTAGAATCGTGGCCGGATACACAGCGGGTGCCAGCATGTGTTCGCTGCCTTCTCTGGATAAGGTTAATTCAAAAATCCCGTTAGTCCATGTGGAACCTCTTGGCCCTTCAGTCGTTCAGGACTACGCCTGTGTTAGTTGTACCAGAACTAGATCAGTTGATATATGGCGATATAGGCAACAGTTCTGAAAAAGAAATCAAACAAGTGCTTTAAGTTACTTGGGGCAATAAGCTCCGAAACTGAGGAGAGAATAAAACACAAGCATAACTTTATAGTACGAAACATTCGGAATCGCATATCCGCTTTAGAGGAGCGCATTTGTTCCTGCTAAGCTGTGGATTGTGTTCTAGTGTCGCACAAGCTAAACGACTGCTCTCACTCAGCCGTAATGCGCCGATACTAGTTACCCTTTTCTCAGGGAGCTGATTGTTCGGGAATGAGACCGGTAAAATTGTTTTTATACTTTCCGGTATAAGGTGCTCACTTTATTTCGATTTGGATGCCGATAACTTAGGCGAGGACCTAATTTCTGGCGGAAGATTATTTCAAAGGGAGGCATATTTAGAAGCAAAAAGGGAACGTTTAGATGTAATGCAAAGAGGCGGTGGAATCACTATGGACGAGAAGATGGAATCGATGAGAAAGTCTGCGCAACCTGTTGCGAAAGGGTAAGGGTAGGAAAACGTCAACCCCGGCATTAATCATTTTTTTACGCGGGACGAAACGAGAAATAAGCGGCTCTGAAATTTTGTACAGTTTATCAGTGCAAATATTTACATATGAACTTAGGAAGAAATCATTCCAATCGTAGGAATCAAGGTGTGTTAATTATTCGGTCGAGCGGGCTGATCAGAAGTCGAAGAAGAAGCTATACTTTGAGGAGAAAATTTTGCTAACTTAGAGTTCTAACTTTGAAACACTTGTGTCGTGATCTAAACCCCCAAGTGGGCCCAGGGATAAGACTCACAAAGGCATGCAACCTCTACAGAAAACTAGACCGAGTATGCTTGATCCTAGGGATGGAAATACAACAGCCTGACTCCATATCCCAACATCCCCAGCCTCCAGAAAGTCCTCTTACCTTCTGGGACCGGAAGGCGGAGACCAGCGTACTTCTGGAAGATTGAAGTCATCCGCAGCCAGTTGATACTTAAAGCTTAAGTCAGCCGCAGCATGAAATGCCAGTGAGAATAAACGATCAAAATTATCATCGGCGTTGCGAGGGCGATAGACACAGCCAATGAGTGAAGCGAACTTATTTTTTCCCTGTAAAGTTAATCCAATCATTTTTTAAAATTCTTTAGTGGTGTTTTTCAGTGCTCGGTCATCATCTTTCTTGACGAACTACTAATTCAGAAACGATGGCTGCCTCGTATAAAATTCATGTGAAAATTTATTTTTACTTGCTTTGATGGAACCCCGACGGGTCTTTAATAAAAATTATTTATTTACTTACTTAAATAGAGCGATATTTCAGTTCCGCCCTCGATTTGTGATATTTCTGAGCGATCAAACAGATTGTCTGGGGAAAAACAGTTAGAATAACAGCTCTAGTGCACTAAAAACCGTTCGTTAAATGTCTCGAAACTTTTCTCCCGAAAAGTACGAACTCATAGAAGAGCGCAGCATCCCACCCCCCGAGACGCATTCGCGAATCCTGTAGCTGATGCTCAGTTAACTGCTGATAGTTCCAACGCATTCCTGTCAAAAACGTTCATTAAAAACTCGACATCTCCGCTTCGGACCATCCAGTCACTGACCTGGGTAGTTCTCGAAACTATAACTTTGGGACGTGGGACGTGACTGTAACGATTCGGCGTTATCGTCAGTCTCATAACCTTGGAGATGATGGTGTTCCAGTAAGCATTCTAAAGGTGGATACAAATGAATTTTTGCCGTCCCTCCTTTGCAAGATATTTGAACCCTGTCTTAAAAGTGAAACCTATCCTACTTTGTGGTAGGAATCACACATTTTGCCTATTCCCAAGCATCGCCAACATACGTCATTTGATGACGCGATAAACGTCCTCCCGCAGCTTTGAGAATCTTAGAGAAATTGATCAAAGATAAGATTATGTGCCACTTAACAGAGAATAACCTACTATGTGCTGCTCAGCATGGATTCCTCAAAGTTCGGTCTTGTGCCACCTGTCAACTCCCTTTCTTTGATCATGTTCTCCAATCTGGGGACAACAGTTTTGCACTTTGCACACACTATTTCGACTTTACTAAAACTTTAAATTTTCGAAATAGGTGGTAAACTTCTGAATTTGATATCCTCTTACCTGGGCGCTCTCACATAACGAGTTCAGATTTCCAATGCTATCCCCATTGCCGCACGTGTGAGAAGTGGAGTCATTAAGGATACTGTGCTCGGCCCGCTAGTTCTTTGTCTTTTTGTTAAAGATGTACCAGATGTATCCTCCGAAACTTTAAAAGCAGCGATATTAGAATGCACCTTTATAACATGCACGTTAGACCTGGTCTGTTATAGTGTTCTTTTTTTATTTAGCCTCATGCGTGCTACTGAGAGGAAGAAAATAGAGTCCGTCCAACATTCTTTTACCAATATAGTTTTAACCCCGGAATACCGGAATTTGTCGTACCAAGAACGTTGCCGGCTTACAGGCCTTGATCCCTTCTGGTTTTGTAGATTACAAAATGGACTATGTTTACTATTTAAGCTGTTATATAATCGTGCCTTAACCTGCTTAATTCTTTAAAACATCTTGTCCACCCCCGACGTAGCAGTCACCGTGAGGTCTTTTTATTAATAATAATATTTTATTAAATGCCAGTTTACAGGCATTGTCAAGGGAAGCGATTAAACACAAATCCGACCAGCAGTGAAAAAAAACGCCCGAAGGATAAAAATATAGTTGATGGTGGTTTTTATGGTTTGGAGGGTTCAGGAAAAAAAAC